ATTAAATAAGCTTGAAAAGGATATGGGGCCAAATTTGTCAGACCCATATTCATGGCATAAAGCCTTTACGCAAACCTGGATGCGCATATAAATAGGCGCATAAGGCTTAGGTTTGCGCTAACTTTGATATTCGACCTTTAGAGCTTCAGCGCTAACATTATTCTGTAAAGGTTTCCACGGTATACTAGAGAGGGTTTCAACGATCATCTTATTGCCTTATTATTCTGTGATTCTCTCTTTGTGATATCAATATATTGATGTTAGAATAGATTAATCTCTAAACAGGGACCAACAATTATATTGCACCGGTAACCATTCCAGGTAATTATATTGGACTGGTAACCATTCCGGGTAATTACATTGGACCGGTAACGATTCCGGGTAATTATATTGGACAGGTAACCAATCCGGGTAATTGAGGAAATTTTCGGGGCTCGGTAATCAATCTGAGCAAATTAATAATTTTATGATGGGAAAAAGACCTTTTTTATATTGGTAGTAGCAGTAACCTAGTCATTTGTTTAGGGTAATCCCTTTTTGGTGGAGTAGGGGGGCGTTGATATCCGAATTACTTGGACTTCTTTCTACTCAGAGGGCTTGGAATCCCTCTTAGGGACTGTGCACACTTAAGGTAGAAGTTCAGTTTCTATTGGAGTTGTGGTACCGGAAAAAGACCCAGAGTGGCCGTACATAACAACGGACCATCGAGCTCAATAAAATATTGAGCACCGCCCATCGATTCTTACTAGGAAGTTTAGTCAAAATGAGATTTTGAGAAAAGTAAGAGAAGAGAATATTAATACCTAACTACTTACTAATAAGAAGTTAAAGTACTGGTTGGAGAAATACTATTTGAGTAAATGAAATTCAAAGTTATTTTAAAGGCTAATTATTTTGAGAAAGGATATTTTGGAAAAAAGCTACATGTAAATATTTTTGGATATTGGTTTAGAAAATATATTTCTGGATATTAGTTATGAGTATTTGGAATTTTGCATATGATTTATGCTTTAGAGTACTAGTGAAGATTTTTTGTGTTTTATGTTTGTTTGGCATATTTTAAATTATTAGGATTTGGAAATATGTATCTATATTTGAAATATTATTTTTTTACTTGTGAATTGTGTGATTTAAAAGTTTTAGGAATAATGTTTTACTTATGATTGATATAAAATGTTTTGAAATGTTTTCTCCATAGAGTTTTACAAAAATATATATATACCAAATTATATTATTTTACGGGGTTGGGTGGGACTTACTAACATTTCTAGCTAATTTTTGTTTCTTTTGTTTTCTTTCTTTTACAGATGAATATGCTTGAATTAGATGATGTGAATGTGCATGACTAAAGTATGTTGAGAGTACTGACTAGTGAAGAACGATAGTGATAAGACTTTTTGAGACATCTTTACTTCGTGTATTTTATTTTTGGCTAAGCACATTTTATTGTTGTGAGGTTATCCTGTGCATTTAGCAGTGAGAGTGTTAAGTGTGGCGGTAACACACTCAAGTTCTAAATCATGTTATTCCGCTGAACCAACTCTGATGATTTTCGAATAAAGTTGGTACTTCTTCTGAATAAACTAGAACTTAATGTATTATTTTGGGTCAGGGATTTGGAGGTGTTACAGATGGTCTCTTGTTATTCCGTGACCGAGTGTGTGTACTATCGAATGTTGAGCTCCTAAAGTTCATCATATAGGAGGCTCATTCAATGGCGTATGCTATGCACCCAAGAGGCACGAAGGTGTACAGAGATTTGAAAGAAAGCTATTGGTTGTCTGGTATGAAAAGGGAAATATAGCTGAGTACATCAGTCGATGTCTTACTTGTCATCAAGTCAAGGCATAACATCAGCATCCAGCAGGCTTGTTGCAGCCACTTTCCATCCCTGAGTGGAAGTCGGAACATGTGGCTATGGATTTCGTGTAGGCTTACCACATACAGTTAGGAACTATGACGCAATTTGGGTTGTTGTCGATAGGCTCACGAAGAGTGTGCACTTCTTACCTATCAACACTACCAATCCACTTAAGAGGTTAGCCAAATTCTATATGCATGAGATCGTGAGGCTACACGGGGTTCCAGTAATCATTGTGTTCGATAGAGATCAACGATTCACATCACGTTTTTAGCCAAAATTTCAAGAGTCTATGGGAATGAGGTTGAAGTTCAGTACTGCTTTCTGTCCACGGACGGATGGGCAGTCTGAAAGAGTTACACAGATCTTAGAGGATATGTTGAGGGCTTGTGCGTTGGAGTTTCAAGGAAGTTGCGACAGCCACTTAGCACTTGTGGAGTTTGCCTATAATAACAGTTATCAGGCAAGTATCAGCATGCCTTCATACGAGGCATTGTATGGGAGGAGGTGTCGTACACCGTTATGCTGGGATGAGGTTGGCATGGCCAAAGTCGAGGGCACTCAATTGGTTGAGATCACCAAATTAAAGGTGAAGTTGATTCGAGAGAGACTTAAAATGGCCCAGGATAGACAGAAGAGCTATGCCGATAAGCATCAGAGAACCTTAGAGTTTAAGGTTGATAACGAGGTATTTCTTAGAGTTTCTCCTTGGAAAGAAATCATCTGATTCCAAAGCGCGGGGGAGCTTAATTCACGCTACATAGGGCCATTTAGAATTCTAGAGAAAATTGGGGTCGTAGCATATCGTCTACAGTTGACTCCTAAGTTAGAGAAGATACATAATGTATTCTACATATCTATGCTTAAGAAGTATGTACATGATCCCTCTCATGTATTGGAGAAGCAGCTTATGGAGGTATGCGAGGATTTGAACTATGTAATGCAGCCGATAAAGATCATCAGCAGACAGGTGAAGATACGACCTTCGTACAGAACAAATCAAGAACTACAAACGATCAAATCTTTCGATGATGATCAAAACAATTTCTGAATGAATTCTCATAGATATGATTTGCAGTTCTTCACCTCTGCTTCTCAGAAAAATAAGAATACGCAAACTGGATTTCTTCGTCAATGGCAGATGCGAAACGAAGCTTTAGAGATATAATCAATCAGATACACGCTAGTCTCGGATGTCAATTGTTAATGAATCTCAACGACAATCATACGATGAACACAATAATATTGAAAAATTAAAACAACTTTCATAGAATACTTGAGAATGATGATGAATGAACAGTACAGAGTATTCTACGAAGATCTTCGATCTCAATGTGCTGCTACAATAATATTAGGACTTTGTGAATCAGCAGTGTGGCTCTAGATCGGTAGGTTGTACGATCAACTAACAAACCAAGTAACAAATTCATTAATGCTCATTTTGTAAGTTATGTATGCTCATCTGGTACTGATCTTATGCTCATATATTAGAATCCTAATACTCAACATAACAAGACTGATGCTCATTAAAAGTTCATTAATGCTCATTCACAACAAACTGTGATTTTCATCGCAATAGCGGATGTTTGATGCTCAATTAAAATGTCGTGATGTTCAACTAACAAAACCTTACAATTTTCATATTAATGTGCAATTTGTAAGTTATGTATGCTCATTTGGTACTGATGTTATGCTCATTTTTACATTAGACTCGCATATTGAAATTAATAAGAGTGAATTATAGATATAATTCAATAAGTTTTATAAAAGAAATAGAGATTGTGATACTCATTGTTAGCTTTTTGATACTCAATAAAATAGGGCAGATACTCACTAAAAGTACATTGTTGCTCATTTAGCGGAAGTCGTGATTTTTCGCTTAAATTACAAAAATGCCACCAAAAAAATTGGTCTGTATTAGTTCTTGAACTAATTTCCTTAGTTGGGCCGGGTGTATGTACATCCGGATTACCGGATGTATGATATAGGGTTTAATGCACCGACCCCCCTCGTGAAATATAAATTCGGCGCATTAGCCCCCTGTGATTTAAAAAATGCATCAAACCCCCATGTGTTATCATTAATCATGCCCCAAACCCCCTCTAAGAACAAAATTATTTTCAAAAATTTTGAAAAATGATTAGTTTTTTTGTGTAATTTAGAAAAGTTGACAACGTTATAGCATATTCAACCATATTATTAAAACAAGTGATTTCAAAATTGTAAAATTTGTTGCTAGAAGAGATTTTGAGCATGATTAATTGAAACCCAAAGGGATTTGACCCATTTTTTAAATTATACTTCGTAAGAGCTAATGCCCCGAATAATTTATATTTGAGGAGGGGGTTTTATATAGGCTCCCTGAAATTTTTTAGTGCAAAAACCAGACCACCTTCCCACTCAGCCATGACAGGGTAAAATACACCATACGGCCAGCTGTACGGTGCTCACCGTACAGCTGAGTTTTTTTGTAATTAAACCTCTGTGATTCAGCCCTGCTACTTGCGATTCAGCCGTGCAACTTACCAACGAAGACGACGAAGGACGACAGATCGAAAGTCTGGTGCAACTCACAAAGGCAGATCACTGATAGCCAAGCTTCCAAGTTCAACTCACGAGTCACGACTGAGATTCTTAGCCGACGCAGAGACGGCTCTACCCCTGCGAGCGATTCCTATTCTTCACACTCTATTTTTCGGTCTCCGCTAATTACTGGCCTGCTACATGGGCTGCCACATTTTTTTATACAAAATGAAATTATGAGCATAGTAGACATTTCGAATGAGTTTTATGATTGCTCATTTTGTAATTTATGTATACTCATTTGATATTTACTTAATACTCATTTTAAATGAAATAAATTTTATGTTAAACTCAAATGAGTATAACACCTTAAAAGAATGAGCACACACAAATGAACCTTTTAGTTATTTGATACTAACTTGTAACATTTCAAATGTATGGTATTAAACGAAAAAATAATAAAACAAAAGTGATGTATAAGGTTTGAAGCAGAGATCACTGATTCTCACCGTTAGGCTCCTAATACTCAAAAGAACATGATTGATGCTAATCAAAGTTGCATAAATGTTTATTTAGGAGAATCCGAGATTTTCAGAAAAATTACAATTTTGCAGCCGGCAGTACAGCTATGCTGTAGAGTAATGACTGCACAGGCTGCTGTACGGTATAGGCGTCCCCATGACAGCTCTTCCCTGAGGTTATCCATATCTGGGTACAGAGAGTGCACTAGTGTAGTCGACCATGGAAAGCATCCACCGGCTCACCCACCGCGTTTTCCCCAAGCCCTTTACCAGAGAATTCCTCAAAGCCTACCCCATTTCACCACTCCTCTTCCACACAACCGTAAGGTTGAACCATGCTGATAAACCCGTATTCCGACCCGGTAATCCTCATACTAATCGGCTTATGTGTTCCAACTTAACACTCATAAGAAGCCATCGCTCTTCTGCTGCTACTGCAAGAGCGGGTTGGTTTCTAGGCATGAGAGATAAGAAACAAAATTTGCCCGACATTGTTAAAGCTGGCGATCCAGTTCTCCACGAGCCTGCCCGGGAAGTTGAGCCGGATGAAATCGGGTCGGAGCGGATTCAGAAGATTATACACGATATGGTAAAGGTTATGCGAACAGCGCCTGGAGTTGGCCTTGCTGCTCCTCAAATTGGAATTCCCTTGAAGGTTTGTGGGAGAAGACGCTTATAAGTTATATAACTGCTTATTGCCTATTCTTTTTATGACTGATCATTCCCAGTTGCTGTAGTTCGAAATGACCAATCAAGATTCTCCGCTCTAACACTTCTGTGTGTAGAAAGTGCAGATTAAAAAAATTGCATCTTTTCCCTTAGGGCCTAGGATCCCATTCCTGAAGGCCAAGAACTGGACGTACAGTTAAAATTTAACTATAATCACAATCTGTTTAAGGGACATACAGTTTAAATTGAACTATAATTGCAAAATAGAGCTTGGTGCTTACCCTCCTTATTGAGCAAAATTGCTCTAGAGTAGTTGTCAAGAATTAATTCTAGTCTATTCTTGTGGTACTCCCTATGAACTAGTTGAGCTAAGTTCACCTACAAAAAAAGTGCAAATTTTAGAAATATCTTTAGGGATTGAGGTCATGTTTTTTCTAAACTCTCCTCATCCTCTAGATCTATATTCTCTCCCATGAACTTCCCACACTATGGAATTGGCCATATGCAATACCTGTACCACAGTAACAGTTATCCGCGCTTGATCAAGGTTTAACTTTTTTCTTTCTACTATTTACAGCTACACGCCTACACGTGAATTTTACGTAATTTTAGCATTGTAAACGTTTTTAGGAGCTGGAAAACCTGGAGTGGGGTGTAAAATTAAAGAATGGCATACTTTACTTTCTACACTGTGACTCTGTGAGTCTATGAGATGCTGAAACCTGTGCTACATGGTACTAATCTGAAAGTGAGATAATAATTGTTATTTATTCTAATTCTTGACAGATTGTTGTGCTTGAGGATACAAAAGAGTATATAAGTTATGCTCCAAAACAAGAGACTAAAGTACAGGACAGACGTCCTTTTGATCTACTGGTATGCATAATGTCCTTTTGATCTACTGGTATGCATAACTTCATGTGGTTTGTTTTTGCTAGTGATAATTGAAATCTTTGCATTTTAACGTGGATTCTTTCTTTATGTCGGACTGCAGGTCATCATCAATCCAAAACTCGTAAAGAAAGGAAACAAAACCGCGCTGTTTTTTGAAGGTTGTTTAAGGTAAGTTAGATGCAACTTAAGTATCTGAAACTATACATAATTCTTGTGGTTAGAATGAGCTCTACCTCAAGTACTGCTGCTTCCAAATGTATTTATCTATAGGATAAACACCAATACATATCCAAAGTAAAGAGGGTCAAGTTTTGGTTATGCGTTTGAATTAAAAAAAAGATATAGTAAGTTAGTCAATGTCCTCACCAGTCATGACTCATGAGGGTCTGGAACTTTATATTTGAAAAGTTATGTGGTTTTTTTATGGCAGTGTTGATGGGTTCAGAGCAGTTGTGGAAAGACATTTGGACGTTGAGGTTACCGGTTTAGATCAAACAGGTCAACTAATCAAAGTCAATGCTTCAGGGTGGCAAGCACGCATATTACAGCACGAGTGTGATCACTTGGAGGGAACTCTGTATGTTGACAAGATGGTTCCAAGAACATTCAGAACTGTACAGAACTTGGATTTGCCTCTCTTTGTGGGATGTCCTGAACTTGGCGTTAGATAGCTTTACTGATTTTGCCCCATCTGTGTTGCCATTTTTTTGAAGGTCGTTTACTTACTGCTAAGATGCTAGGAATGTAAAGTGACTGACAAAGAGACTGCACACGCACCCGTTCTGACATCACATTTGATACCATCTCCTTGGTTTTAGACTAAAAGTTCTCATTTAAAAAAGTACTCTCATTATAAAATGGATCTCATTGGAACCCTTCTATAGACTTGATGTGGGTCAATATGAAATACCTGATATTCTATCTCATACATTTACCATACCATACATTTCGTTATGCGAAAATACATACGGCTACCTTACAGATATTTTGGTATATCTTGTTTCGGTATACCGAAATTTTGGTATTGTAAAAGTACGGTATGGTTAAATTACCATGATTTACTTGAACTTTAATATAAAAAGTTATTATATGCTAAATGACATATAGAAAATTGGCATTAGTAGTGATATGCTAAAATCATTAATAAGATTTATTACAAAATACTAATGATGGCATATTGATGTTTTCTTCAATTTTGAACAAGAATGATTATAAATATGTTTCAATATTTAAACACATGATATATGAACAAACAGTGTAAAAAAAATTACACTGTCTAGTTTATAAATAAATAAAAAAATTAGAACCGGCCCAGTGTAGAAATAAACTTGGCCTAGTGTATTCCAATTACCCAACATTCCAACAAGCCCAGCAGAACCGGCCCAGGAGTGCAAGTGTGCAACGAACCTACTTATGCAGTTATGTGTGTAAACAACTCCAGCCTCTAGGAGAGCGAATGAATTGCACTATTGCATGCTGCGGACTCCGGAACAGGGGCAGATTTCGGACCAAGTCAACAGGGGCGGATTCTGGACGAGAGTGGCCGCCGCTAGCCACTAGCTGCAGACAGTTGCCTGAGCTCGAAAGTTGGCCGCCGGTGGGCCGGTGGTGGTAGATACAACTCCCAAAAATCAGTCCATTCTGAAATCTCTCATTGGCTATTGCTCAAGAAATTGAGGTTAATTTTCTAACCCTAACTCATGAATTATATATTCAGCTTTAAGTATATTTTGATGCAAGATTGTATCTTGAATGTATTGTGATTTTGCGGTGTATTTACATTAATTATAAATTGTTGTGAATTTGTGAGTTTAGGTGAATTGGTGATTTAGTGAAAATGTGAATTTGTGATTATGTGTACATGTCATACGAATATGTTCTATTAGTGAATCGTTGAGATATACTCCATAGTGATACACCGAATTAGTGATATATATTAATATAGGTTAATCAGTTACATTGCATTAGATATTTTGAAACCAGCGCCTGAAGACAAGTTTTAGAACTCGACAAGATCTTTCCAACGAGATATTAAACGCTTTCAACGGAACAAAATAGAGCAAGTTATGATCGCATCAAATTCTACACGAGTTCGGAGTGAAATCAGAAACATTTGTGAATATATGGTTAATCTGTAACTTTTAAATAATGCATTGTCAATGAAGTTGGAACAATAGCTTTAGAGCATCAAAAAATATCTGATTGGCCTTTAGACAGAAGAGAAAAAGTGAGACGATTATATTTGCTATCTGGCCCTTATCAACCTAAACTTTAGAAGTACAAGGGTTGAGAATATAAAGACAAAATTTGTCGCTTTCAATCAAGTTGGTTTAATGAGTTTAATAGGTTAGAGTACTCTCCGACTACACACAAGGTATATTGTTTTCCATGCTTTCTTTTTTGTTATAATGTGCATTCATCTCACACTTTTGCATTAGTGGGCACTGGATATGATGATTGGAAGAGAGTCCACCAGGGCAAGGAATGCGTATTTCTTCTTCATACTGATACATCTTCTCAATCTCCGCATAATAAGTGTATGACATGTGCTGATTATTTGAAGAGACCATCTCAACATATTGATAAAGTCATTGAGAGGGTTAGCAAAGAAGAAGTTTTAAGAAATCGATTACGATTAAAGACATCAATCATGATTGTTTGTGGCTACATTGCAAGGTTGTGTTAAAGCTGGGAATGTGATTGAAATCATGATTGTTTTGAGGGGTCACGATGAGTCTGAAAAGTCTTATAATCCTGGGAATGTGATTGAAATGATAAATTACACAGCTAAGTGGAATGCTGATGTTAAAGCTGTTGTATTGAGTAATGCTCAAAAAAATGCAAAATACACTTGCCCGGACATCCAAAAAGAAATTTTGTCCCTCTTGGCTAAAAGAGTTCGTTGCTTAATCCGTGAGGAAATTGGAGATTCTTGCGTTTCTATCCTTGTTGATGAAGCAAAAGATGAGTCAGATCGAGAGCAAATGGAAATTATCCATAGATTTGTGAGCAGTGAAGGAAATTTAACTGAGCGTTTTTTTGCTATTAAAGGCGTTTCAGAGACTTCTTCTGAAACACTTAAGCATGAGATCATCACCATCCTGTCTCATTTTAATCTTCAAGTTCACAAATTACGCGGCTAATGATATGATGGTGCTAGCAACATGTGTGGGCAATGGAATGGTTTGCAAGCATTATTTATTAATGAATGTCCATTTGCATATTATGTACATTGTTTTGCCCACATGTTGCAATTAACATTGGTGGCTGCTGCAAAACAATGTGATCCTATTTGGAAATTCTTATCTATTTTGGACAAAGTCATTAATATTGTGAAGTCTTCTACTAAGCGCAATACTGAACTTCAAGTTGAGCATTGATTAGAATTTGACGCTTTGTTGGAAAGTGGGGAGCGTCAATTGGGAAGAGAGGCTCATCAAATGTCAACTTTACAATGTTCAAGTACAACTCGTTGGGGCTCCCATTATGATTCTGTTCTAAGTATGCTTGAATTGTATAATGCAACTTGTAAGGTGCTTGAAAATATTGCTTGTGATGGATCAAATGCAAAGGCTCAGACTGAAGCAAAAGGAGCGTGCTCAAGTATTCAAACTTTTAATTTTGTCTTTGGTTTGCATCTAATAAGGGCCATCATATTTTATTTGTCAAGCATTTCAAAAGCAATTTGTTGACATTTTATCTGCGCTTGGATATGTTTCAACTGCCAAAGCTCTTCTTCAGGATTTGAGAGATAAAGGATGGGACGATATATTTAAGCAAGTATAAGATTTTTGCTTAAAAGATAAAATCAATATACCTCACATGAAGAGCAAAATGTGTCGCGGAAGAAATGAGATAGATGTTGAGCATTATTACCATTTTGAGTACTTCATTCAGTCCATCGATTTCCAAGTTGCAGAATTGAATTCAAGGTTTAATGAGACATCAGTTAGACTTTTGCAACTTAGTGTGGCATTGGACCCAAAAAATTCTTTTGAATCATATAACGCCGATCATATATACAAGCTTGATGTGGAGCTTTATCCAGATGATTTTGAGCCACACGAAAGAAATGCTTTAATGAGTGAGTTGACGTTGTATCCTGCTCATGTGGTCAAAGATTCTCAATTTCAAGTTTCCACTCTTGCAAAGTTATGTGAAATGCTGGTGAAAACAAGAAAGGCTGAGAACTTTAAAATGATTACAAGATTGATACGTCTTGTATTAACATTATCAGTTTCTACTGCCACAACTAAGAGAGCATTTTCGGCAATGAAGCATGTCAAGAATGCAATTCGAAACAAGATGGCTGATGAATTTCTCGGTGATAATTTGACCATTTTTATTGAAAGAGAACTTGTTAGCACAATAGATATAGATTCTCTTATCAACGAGTTTGCTAAAGTAAAGGATCCCTGAGTCCAATTAATTTTGTAAACATAATGTATTATGGTTTTTGGAGTAACAACTTTTGTGATAGACTTTAATTAATTTGATTACTATATTTATTACTTAAAAATTATGTCTTGAAGTTTAGTTGGAATCCAGCCCAACCTTCTTTGTTGTCCTGGCTCTGCCCCTGTGAACATAAGAACACGTTCTCCTAAAATAATTTGAGCAACATTTTTATATAATATAAAGTTACAGTGTTTGGGTAACAATTGGAGGGACAAATCCCGCCCAAAATAAGGGCATAATAAGGATTCAAGGAGAAAAGTAAAATTGGTAAATATATTTATTAAATATACGGTAGGAATGAGATCGATTTATGGAATCTTCCAGATTTGGCTAATTTTAACATGTGTAATCTTAACATCTTAACATAAATATAAAATAAGAAGTGTAATTAAATATACGATGACCAAGCAACAATACATAATATGGAATCTGCCGGATTTTCCAAATTTGGCTAATTGCGTCATATGAAATCTTAAAATAATAATAATAATAAATTAAAATAACAAGTATTAAATGTGCAACTTAAATAACTTGGCAGTATAAGTTCTATTAAAATTATTTATCTTTTTCTTTATCTTTTTATAATATAATATGAAGTAGCAGAGTCGCTACTAATATTGGAGGAAAACTTTTCGCCTAATGAAAACACATTTGTGAATTGTGTGTAGTTAATATGTTCTTCCTTTTTTTACGTTCAGATGGACAAATATAGTTACAACTGTAGTTAATATTAAAATACTCAATAAAGATAATAGATAATCAATTTGACTTCACACATATTAAGAAAATAAATTTGACTTTACTGTAGAGTGCATTGTTTTGCACTGTTCAAACACTGTTTGACACTGTTTGACACTTTTTGATGTAGATAATTTGCCAAATAGAGAAAAGTAAGGAAGTGTGAACTTAATTTAGGGACTCTCCAAAAAGGAAAGTGGTAACTTAATTGGGGGACGGAGGGAGTATTTCATTATCCTAATACAATACTGTGATACGATGTATAATGCATAAATTTTTCACTAGTACTTCTCCATATTCCTTTTTTTAATTAATACCAATGTATGGATTCTCACGTATTAATTCAGATTCTAATATCATCCACTATGTATAGTATTCCTATTCCTATTACTACACTAGTTTTGTAACGTGCGATGCGCGTTCGTGTTAATGCCAAGACCATTGTATGTATATTAATTAATCAGGCTAGGTTGAGTGAATATATAGGTAATATGAATACACTATTCGAATACATAATTTTGTTAGAAATTGATAAAGAAACCTAATGAATAAAATATATACCGTGAATCTTTTTTAGTTTGTTGTCTAAAAAAAGGTTTCTGCAAAATGAAAAACCCAATCTCATTGCATTCGTTGTGGTGAGTAGGATGCAATTGGTACTTCAAGGTTAGATAACAAACAAACCTTCTATGATGCCACCACCACCCATTTATGACATATATTCAAGGAAATCAAATATCAATGTCACATAGAGGTACTTCTTTTCTTGTTAAATCGCTTAATACAACCGGTGTAAATGTCTAAGTAGAAATCCCACATAAAAACCAGATAGATTGGTTCAACCAAAAAGAGGAAACACAATGGGAGGAAAACAACACAAACAATAACCATATAAATCCATAGGTATAAATGCATAATCTGGTAAAGATGGCAACCCTGCCTGTAAGGCGGAAAACGCTTAGTTCAAAACATGAACAATTACTCCAGCCTAAAACATAAAAGTAGAACAAAATAAGTGATATGGATGAGCTACACAACTTGAAAATGTAAAATTTAAATTAATAGGAAACTTAATTTTCAATAACATACCCATCTACTTTACATATAGTGAAATAAGTAAAAGTATTGAAAAGACATATTTCAATATTAATTGAGACAAAATTTCCCAGTTTTTATTTTTTAAGTTGAAGTTCATTGGGTTAAAGCATATAGATATTTATATTGGCAATTTGATATTTGAGTGGGTCACATGTGTGTATAGTATTCAGTGGACATGAATTTGATTTTATCTAATAAAATAGGCAAATAAAAAAGACTACTATTTTAAACTTTAACATGTTAAGCCGTTATATTAAGAGCAACATTTTCAAGAGTGTAGCTTAACAAAGAAGTTAGTTTGCCCTAGATTTCAAAAGACAAATCAAACTGTGTAGCATGCGCTAATAAAGTTTAATATAAGCTTTATTAGCAACTGTGAACAAGGATAATATAAGCTTTTAACAATAAAATGGTAACCTGTCAAAATATTTTGAGTTTTCTCCCCTTCCGAACTATGTATATCTCCTCATCAACCTCAAAATTATTTGAGTTTCTTAATTTTTCTACTCCTCTCAAGCCATTCTCTTTTTTTATATAGATTCTCCAAGTTTTTCTTCTTTGGAGTTCATTAAGTAAAAAAAAACAACCCAACATAGGTACTGGTAATCGGGAATTGTGTGAGCTACATGAAGTTCCATAAATGTTAAAAATATTTCAGAGTGATTTTATCTGATATAAAAAGCAAAACAAAAAAGACTACTACTTTAAGCTTTACTCCGTTAGGCCATTATATCAAGGTTAGCAACAGAATGTTAAATGCATCCTTAAGCCAAAATCAAACCAAATGATCTTTTTATTCTTTTTCATCCAAATCACATTAATATTCAGACATGTATATGTCATTATCAAATTATACTCCATAATTATAGTTGACTGTTCATCATGAAAATGGAACCTACGTACGTAGACTAAAAAAATTAACCAAACAAATACCTACCAGACAAATACTCCTAGAATATGCAGAGGAAAAGGAAATATGACTTTTCATAACATATGTTTATATTTTTTTGTATGGTATAAAAATTATAAAGGGGAATGAGGATTAAGGCAGTTTGAAGTCAAAATATATAGCTTTGTAAACCATTTTGATAACTAAACAAAAGTTCTGAAATATTATTCTACATTGAGCAATGCAACAGTTTGGAATGGGCATTAGAAATCCTCACTTCCCATGAAATGTATTCATACAAGGCACAACTCGAGTTTAAAAGAAACATGTTTAGTAGTTAATAATCAAATATAAATGGCAGATGAACATCGTTTGAAATATATTTCAAAGAAACATGGTTTGTTACCAGATAACAAACCCGTTTGGTAAGGGTGAATTTGGTGGAAGTGACTGAAATCACTAAATGGCAGATGAACATCGTTTGAAATATATTTTCCAAACTCAGTGGTGAAAACTTCCTTTAGCAGCATGTTTGTTTATCTCATATTGACAATCCATTCATGTAAGCTCGAGCCCTCATATGAGATGAGCTGAACACTATCATCAATCATGTGGAATATAAAGTCTCGTTCTTCTCCGAAACAAAGCATCTCTTTTTTAGTGCCAACACAAAAAGTCTTTGGATTCTGTCCAGCTTTCTCTATAGTCTCAAAGAATGGAGGGATTACAGCTTCCTCTGTGATCCATGTGCACATTCCAACACATGTAAGGAAACCAAAAGGAGAGGAAAAATCAAACAAAAACAGCCTCCAACCGTAAGTAAAAGACAGTTAGTTAGTAGAGGATTTCATTTGAACATTTCACCAAACACATAGCAAGCAAAGAAAAATAAAGAGATACAAACTATGAACAAATAATATAAGCATACTGATGTGAAGAAATACAGGAGAAAGGATGGCAAGTCAGGATGATAAAGGAACATAAACACATAGCAGTTTAAATTGAAAAAAAGAAAACAGATAAAAGAAGCAACATGATCAAGGAGAGAATAATGAACTTACAAAAGGATGTGAAGAAGTCTAAAATTTGTTCAATACCAGGTGCCAAATATGATTAGGCGTATAATCGATGACAATATCCAAATGAAATAACCGTTTGACAACCATGGCTGGGGCGCAGGACCGTGAATGAAAAAGAAGTAGAGGAAGTGTCAGACAGAATCAGGGCGAGAGGGAAAGGAAGGTTTAATTGCTCAGTAATCTGTAGTACTCTGTATTTATTTATCCCAAATCGTGTGAAGTTGCAGAAGTCATACTAGGGGTTTAACGGCATAGTTGAATATCGTCTCCCTTTAGTCTGCCATAACCGCAATATGCTTGACTATTTATGCATCCAGTACAATCGGCCAATGCATCAAGCGACACGAACAAATTTTTCATGACCATTAAACCCCTAACAAAATTCATGTTTATAGAAGAAAGGGAGATTTGTCTCACTAACTTTAAAACATAAGGCGGTGACACGATTATTAGATAAAGTAAGAATAAAATAAAAATGATTTAGAACCACACAAACTTTACCAAATTTGGTAAGAGATGATTTTAGTGAGAATTCACGAAAAGAAAAGTGAGACAATTATTTTGGTACAGAGGGGGTATAATGTAATAGAGGAAATTATGTCTACCAATTGTTCTATACATGAGAATAACCAAAAGATAAGGAAATGTCAAAACATCCCATGAAACTTATGGTAAGTAATGAGCAATTTTTAAAATAAAAGGAAAATAGTCAACTTTTTTTACTATTTTTAATACATCACTTAAATTCATATACTCTCTCCGGTCCCAAATGAAATTCACACTTTGACTTTACACAAATTAAGGAAATAAATTTGACCTTACAGTAGAGTACACTGTTGTGACACTGTTTGGCACTGTTTGGCACTGTTTTGCACTATTTTGATGTTGATAATTTGCCAAATAAGGAAGGGAGAAGAAGTGTGAAATTTATTTTGGACTTATCCAAAAAGGAAAGTGTGAATTTCATTTGGGACCAGAGGGAGTACATAGTACTAAAAAAGTACTATGTATCGTATATGCATGTTTACCGTAAAAACATCCTCAATTAAGTGATTTCAACAAGCTATAGCATGTTAATTTAAAAAAATAATTGATTAATCTTATAAACATTCTTATAAATTTGAAAAACAATGTAATAATATTATAAAAAATAGTATAAGTTCAAAAATGGATTGATAGTTTTAACACTTTAAAATAGAACATAAAAATTGAAGAAAAGAAAAAAATAATGTGAAAGTGTAAAAATTATAAAAT